TGCAAAGAAAGCATGGAGAGAGCTGATTTAGCCACACTATCAGCTTCCCCATTACTCAATCTAGGAATGTAAAAATAGGAGATAACATCAAAAGCATTACTAAAGTGATAAATGTCAAACAAAATGCCAAACAATGCTGGTGTAGAACCTCCTTCCTTTATCAACTTGATCAAGGATTGAGAATCCGACAGAACCATCAAGAATTTCACATTTGACGACGCGACATACATCACCGCAGACCGGATGGCGAGGGCCTCAACCATTAACGCCGAAGAAACAAAGCTGCTCGTCGCACTAATCGTGTCGAGTTGCATCGGGTGGGAGGTACCTGAGAAAACACAAACAATACCACAAAACTCAGTAACTGCATTCCATGCAGCATCAACATTACAAACTATCGTATTGCTCGAAGCTTGGGGTCTGGCGCCACAGATTGTTGAGGGAGGGGATCGGGTAGGTTCCGCCGATGGGGAAGATCCATGTGCCTCCTGCCACTCCTTGGCATCCTTGATCGATTTGTTGATGATTTCCATAGCAGAAAAAGATTTATTCTCAAAGTATAACTTATTACGCGCCTTCCATAGATTCCAAAGAATCCATGGCCAAAGGGGAACATTGAGACCAACTGGAGGCAAAACAGTGAGAGAACAGGTTTGCTCAAAGAAAGCCACCATTGACGGAAGCGTAGGAGAGGGTCTACCAAGAAGTGGAGCCTCATCCCAGACGTATCGCAAGATCACAGTGGAGGAACAAGTGTAAGTCATCCTCGACACCATCACATCGTTTACAATTGAAGCTTGGAAGACCCCTAGTTTCCAAATTAGCACTAACGGGTATAGCCCTTCTAACCACCTTCCAAATGAAATCCTTTAACTTAGGTGACGTCTTGATATTCCAAATGTTCTTTGTCCAATTAAAGGAAGCCAATCCCCTTGGTAGTGTAGCTGCCACATTATCTCTCATACCGGCGCCATACCCTGTTTTTGTAGAGTAAATACCAGACTTTTCCAAGAGCCACACTAAACGGTCTGTTGCAGGGGAGAAGCTCGTGACTATACGGAGGATGGACGCCTCATACTGAGGGAGAAACAGCTTGATTTTGTCTCTATCCCACCTGTTAGATAGAGGACAGAGTAGGTCACTTACATGGAGGTTCTGGTCTTGTACATTGGGAGGACCAATAGGAGTCACCGGAGAGGAACAAGATAACCAAGGGTCCTGCCAGATTCTTATCTGGTCGCCACTGCCTATGACCCAGCCAAGGCCTTTGCGGAGGATCTCTCTACCAGCCAAAACACTGCGCCAACCGTGGGAGGCGTTAGATGGGGCAGAGCATTCCATGAAGCTGGAGAATCTGGCATATTTGCCCAATAGGACTTGAGCAACCAGGGAATTAGGGTCAGATAGCAGCCGCCATCCTATCTTTGCAAGTAATGCATCATTGAAGGTTTCGATATCTCTAAAGCCCAAACCGCCGGCGTACTTTGATCGCACGGTAGGAAGTTTAAACTCGGGAGCTAGAGGGTAGGAAGCTGACGCGATGACCACGTTGAGTATGAAACTGCTACTTGACTTTTGTCCCATTTTATAGGTGCTAATTTGTGCCATATTATACTAATAATCTATCTTATTAAAACATAATCCTACTCTGGATCTAAACTTTGTTTTGTAAGTTATTATATCAAATACACATTTATACTTTATAATTAAACATATCTCAAATCATTAATTGTAAACAACAAATTTAAACTGATTATAATATGAGCCAATTTATTAGCAAGATTACACAAATCATCTATAATAAAGTTAGTTAAAATATATAAAAAGAGTAATATGATCACTACATATTTAAATATGATCAAGACATATTTATAGTTCTTAATTAAAATGGTTAAATAAAATAAATTATGTACATATAAATTTAGCGTGTTATGTGGATTAATGTTTAAATATAAACAAAATAATATTTTTTTCTAAATATATAATTTTATCAAAATATTAATTTCATTGAATAAAAATTTTGTTGACTAAGCTAATCCCATGGTTTCATCATAATCTAGTATTGTATCAAAAAGCTTGAATATGTCTAATACAATTTTTTTGACAACTACAAGTATATCTAATACTACTATTTAACTACTGTGTAGAATTGACTTCTTTGCTTGAAAGCTAGAATAATAGTCCAATATTGGATCCGAAAGTTGCCTAATTGAATTAATTGTTTTCGCAATTATTGTAAAAATTGGATTTGGTTTGAGAAAAGAACTCTTTTGATAGTTGGTTAGTTAGAGTCAATAAAATGTTTTTTTTTTGTTAGAATGAAAAATAACAACAGATTGTAGTTTTACGTTAACTGTGAAATAATTTTTATATTGATGTGCATGATTTAACTCAATGCAACTTAAGTGGAAAAACAACGAAACTA